TTTTTTTAAAAGTTTGAATTCCTCCAAACAATTAACAGTTACTAGGTTTGGCAAAACAAGATTCTCTTACAAAATTAAAAGCCTACTTTTGTTACATAAACTGTATAAAACTGCTCAACAGTTAAAGAGCACTCTGTACAATTCTGTCTTGAAATACATAGAACTGCAGCCTTCAAACTGCAGGAACTAATGATTTTGTCCTCCTCACAGGTAAAAGAACTAACCAGCTGTGCAATTGTTTTGGTGGAAAATGAAGAGGCAAATACAGTCAGAATTAATAAGATGAAGCCACTATAAAAATGAAAGGCACAGCAAAACTCAGACCTCAGTTTAAACTAACAAGCTATGTTTACAACATATTCTACATTTCAGTTGTCATTTTCCCTTCCCACTCCCGCCTCCCCCCATACAAATATTTCTAATTCCTTTACGGTCTAAACCTAATTAATTTCTAAACTTTCAAATACATCGTACATACATTTAGCAAAAAAACATACCTATCATTCTTACAGCAGTATGGTCAGGACACAGTTTCAAAGATTATTACATAGTTACTGAGATTAAACCTTAGGACTTTTTTTTTTTCCTAAATCTGTTGAAGAGAACAGCAACCACCAACTTAAACAAATGATTTTAAAATTTACTGCAGAGAGCCTGCAAAAAGCAGACTTCATCAACATCAGCTCTTAGCCCCAGAGGACACCGGGGAAAACAGCGAGCGATGAACGAACGTAAGGATGAAAGAGAATTTCGGAGTGCCAGCTACAGGAAGATCCTTCAGGGACTCAGTCCAAACAGATTGCGGTTTTGGCTCAGTCGTCCCCATTGCACCAAGTCCTGCAAACTCTGCAACAGTATGTTACGATGTAAACTAAAATTCTTGATACCAACAGTATGTCAAAGGTTTGGGGTTTTTTTGTGTTTTGGTTTTTTTTTTCCTGAATGCAACAGTTGGTCACAGAAGTCAAGTATTTTCATGGCTCTTATTCAGCTGTTGCCAGTTCAGGGGGAAAAAAAATAAAAAAAAGTGTGTGTCTGACTCATACATCCTTCAAGTACATGCAAGGCTCAATTTTTTCCAAAATGCAGGAGCTTGTGATCTTTTAAGACACTGAAGAAATAGGATTATGAGGAGAGCCCATCTGAGTAAGTACTTTATCCAGCCACTGAAGGGGACCATGAAGATGTATCTCTATCCAGCATGGAGTGCTCGTTACATCTTGGCGATGATATTCAGCTCCCCAACCCTGGAACCGGAATCATAAGTGGGAAAAGAAAAAAAATCACCTTGTTTTATAAAATCAAACACATGAGAAGCATACTTCAATCACCATCTTTGTTACCAAAATAATCTAGCTTTCAACAATCATTATCAGCAGGGTAGCATAAAACCATTGATGCACCAACTATTACCACATTTCAATGACCAAAGTTAGGGGGGAAAAAAAAAAAATTGTAAGAAGTGAGATCTTTTGGCTTCTTTAAAAGAGAGTCTTAATTTCTTAAAGAAATGTACCTGTGGTAGTGCCAAATTTCCCCATACATCACTGCCAGCTGCATGATGTCCCAATAAAGCCTCTGCAGAGGGGCATAAGTCTTCTGTCAAGACCAATAATAGAAAAAACTGGGGGAAATGCTGCCAGGCAGATCCACAAATTAAAAAAATGAGGTCTGACATTATGGAAGTGGGGGTGAGGCATCTGACAAGAACCAAAACATCCTTTGCAGGATGGACATGAGGAACAGAGCAATAAATCAGAAACATTCCTCTCTCGAGAAAGAGGTCACGGTCATTCCCCAGCAAGCTGTTTCTCAAGCTAAAACAAAATAGGTTTTGTTTCAGCTCACACCTGATTCAGTTATAGTAATTACTAAAGATATAAGCAGATATTTAAACAACATTCAAAATAATTTTTTTAGTGGACCATTTTGGGAGCAGATGTGGAGACAAGGCTACAATAGCCACAGGTAGTTTGCTCTGCTCTTTATCAACCTCTAATGAAGAGATTACCCAGCTCCTGACACAGGTGGCAGCAGCTCTAAACGCTGGGCAGCGCAACACCCAGTACGTAGGAGGTCCTGTACAAATGTTCAGTACAACTCCACAGGAGGCAGAGCTACAACCACCTACTCTATTTTAGGAACCCATGTCCTAAACACACCTGATAGTTTCTACCCCTCCTATGCACAAGAGCACTTCAGCATATTACTATCTTCATTTGACTACTTTCATACATGTGGCCAGCCCTTTGATATCAGCACTTATGTTGACACTCGCAGCCACATTACATATCTTGACCTTGCATGCCCCCCTCAAAAAAAAAAATAGAAAGCTATGTGTACTAACTCTAAATAATTACTGCAGCTCCTAATTTGGGACCTGCTGGTCAAGACAGATTTAGAGGATTATGCTATCTATGTTTCCACAACTGCTAGAATGACTTACACCGCAGTCCCAGCTCAACTCGCCAGAAATACCATCCAGGAACAGGAGCACGAAGTTCAGCTGGGCCTCTTACAGAGCAGGAAATGGCATGGACCGTAACAACAGGCAGAAAAACAGGCAAAAGCTGACACCTGGGTGGCCTTTTCATTTTTAGGCCAAGTAATTAATGACTTGATTCTCTTCGAAACTTACTTGTACTGTATCTTGTAATATTCCACAAAATTAAAAAGACAAGCCCCATAATTCCAGGTTAATTAAGCAAAATAATTCTGCACACACACACAATCTATACACATACTAAAAACAAGAATATAACTGAAACAGTAAAAAAGTACAAGAGGCAATGTAATGACATTAGAAAAGTTAACGGACATCACTGAAACGCTTAAGAAGTGACTATAGACTTATGTGAAGAAGCACCTTCTGCAAATCACCTCAAGCTTTCAAAGTATGTGCATCAGATGGATTTTTGTCCACAAAGACAGTTTTGGTTCATTAAGATATCTCTTACTCTTAATAAGCATTATCTCATACTTAAAATTCAATGGCTCTTAAGAGGTCCATGGAGGGAGGCACCAGACTATTCAAGATTACCACATTAAGGAAAAATAATTTATTTTGCTTACAAAACAAATCTCAAACAAGTTTTTACATACCTTTACGAAACTCATACGGAGAGTGCACATCTTGGTAAGCTCATACACCGTCTCAAAGCCGTGGTTCACCGACTGAGCCAAAAGCTGAGCAAACTCTTGATTATTGAAAATCTTCAAACTGCAGCCACTGGGGATTTTGCAGACCGTGGTGGGATGAAACCCATGATGGTAGTTACAGTTTCGACTTTGCACAAAAATGCTGCTGTCGCTAAGGCATTCGGCATACACTTCCCCACCAACGTAATAGAGATGAACACCTGGGAGGAGAAGGTTGACATAAGGAGGTTAGACAAACTCACCCTGTGCATCTATTTTCCATGCTCTGTCTCCAGAAATACGCTTCTGCTTATAGAGATAAACATTAATTGCATATCAGACCATCACCCGCCTGTCTTCAAACTTGTTTTTTACTGTTTTCTGTTTCATCAGTAGGTGATTTGAAAGGAGGGTATTTATGTATGTATGTGTGCATATACAAGGGAAATTGGTAATCCTGTATTTCAACGTATTATATATTGAACAACAATAAACTAGCAAGCCTTGCAGTAGTTTTGATGCAGGACATGGGATGGTTTGAACACCTGAACATTTTCTCATTACATTTATGTAAAACAGTAATTTGGAATGCGAGGGGAAGAGCAGAAACCTACTGCTAATTTGTAGATAACTAAAGCAGCCCCAAGCTGGATTCTCTGGAAGAGTGCTGAATGCTATTTTGGGCAGCATGAGTTTTTCCAGCTCGCTTTAATTCCACAAAGATGGAAAAAAGAAAATGGCCCTTATATTCCTCAGATGAATCTGTCAAATGAGGGCACACACCAATTTTACAGTCCTTTCCCCTCCTACTGCCTGCCTGCTCCCTGCCACCAATGGCAGCGAGCCCCGTAAGAGCAACATACAGAGAACCTTTATGGACATTTGCTGCTTGTAGGAAACAATTCCAAAGGCTTTGAGAAAGCAAGAAAATTTGCCTTAGGTATTTCAAAATGGATTATTTGCTGTTTAAATCTTTCACCTCCCACACTGTCACAAGCCAGACAAGTGAACTCATGGAATTTAAAAACTAAACTGAAATCCAGTCAGAAAGCCTTGACTGTGCTCTGTCACCTAAAATTTTGCTGATGATTATGCCTGCACCTGTGTGGGTACATATATACCCCCACCTGACCTGTGAAAACTTCTATGGCTATGTCTTCAAGCTCAGGATTTACTCCTCCTTCCTCAAAGAGTACAAACAGTTCTACACCATCGTTAATTGTACACAATTCCTTATTCAACAGCATCCTTGTCTCTTCCATGCTCTGCTTCGGTTCATATGCAGTTAAGTGCTTCAACAGACCTCTGCTTGCAGCTGGGTTACTTTTAACAGGAAAAACGAATGAGGTGTTACATAAATATCCTGATACTTGGTAAGATGGATGGGGAGGAAAAGAAGGAAGAAGTATTAGGACTTGGGGAGCACAGCACAGGTGCGGTGTACTGCTGAGACTTGCACAAGTCCTCACATAGAGAAAAGCTCTCAAGACTGAGGGCTCAGACCTGGAGACCTAACAGCTCTCTTTAGTTTCAATTCTTTTCTCCTCTAAGGAGGAGGAAGATACTTCATTAACTGGCACTTAAAACATGCAACCCACCGCTTGGGCATGCTAAACCCTCAACTGTCTCAGTAAATTTAGAGTCTGCTAATAATGTAAATGCCTAATAAGTTTG